TTTCTGTTCATTTGTCTCCCAGGTCTGTCACTGCTCGTGTCCGCCCTTTTCCGCTGGCAATGTAGCATTTCTATTCATTTGTCTCACAGGTCTGTGACTGATGGTGTCCGCCCTTTTCCGCTGGCCATGTAGCATGTCTATTAATTTGTTCCCAGATCGAGAGATGATGTCATGGCCGCCGCCAGCCCAGCGCGGGCCGGCAGTGCAGGGCCTGACAACGTTGGCCATTAAACGCGCCTTTATGCAGTTTGGGGGCTGTCTGGGCTTGGCATGGCGCTCCACAGCCGGAATTCTATCCTGGAACCCAGCGTGCTGTCTGGAACACCCTTGCGTGCGTTCGGGGCAGACAAACAAACGCATCGAGATATTGTGAGGTGCGTTGATCTGTTTCTGTTTTAGGTTTTAGAGGCTGACTCGTCCTGCGTTGTCATCAGTATTTTGCACGGTGACACGGCAGTGCCAGGGTTGTGGGAGGCTGTGTTGAGAATGGCGCCTTCAAAGGTCACCAGGTGAGCCATGGGAAAAGGCATGGGCACGCGCGCTCGCGCTCAAAGCCAAGTTGCAACCGTCGGTATCCTATAGTATCTATAGGCGAAGGCTAAGCTGGGGTAGGTGGATTTAGTTTCCTGAAACATATGTAGGCGAAGCCTGAGAAATATAGCCACAAGAGCCTGACAGCAACCCTGCAAAGGTATATAAGTTTTGCGGAGTGGGGGCCACATGGGCCACACACACACGTATTTACATATATCATACATATATATATATATATATATTCCTACGGGCGTATGTATGCTTATGTACACATACATACATACATACATACACGCATGCATACATGCATACATGCATATATGTGTGTATACACATGCATATTCATACGTGCGTGTATATGTTTGTGCACGCATGCAAATGCGCGTGACACGCGCGTGCGCACACACGCACGCTTTGCCAACTCTGCAAACTTTTGTTTCGATAGTTAGCTGTTCAAAAGTTATGTAAAGTAGTTTCGCAGAGACGCAGCCAGGACCTCCGTTTGAACGGCTGGCAGATTGAGGAGGTTTCTTTCTTGTGTGTGGTGCGCGGAAAGGATGTCAAGCACTTTTCAGAGGCCAAAGAGCGGATGGCTATCCTTTCCAGGCTGGGAATGTGTTTCAAACAGCGTGACAGGTGTAGAGTTGCGGGTTGTTCCCCAGATAGCTCCAAGCTACAGGGGCCCTCACTTCTCAATGGTGTGGCTCTGGATCGGCGTTTTCGTTTCGCGGGCGCTGCCGCCGTGCTGCTGGTGCTGGATCGGCGTTTCTGTTTGTGGGCGCTGCTGCTGTGCTGGCTGGTGCTTGTGCTGGGCCGGCGTTGCCCCATTACTTCTCAACGGCGAGGCTCTGGATCGGTGAAGTATCGTTTGGCGCTGGCGCTGGATTGGCGTTCCGTTTTGTCCGTGCTGGCGCTGGTGCTGCGTGGGCGTTTCGTTTTGTCCGTGCCGCGCGCTGGCCGTGCTGGCGCCGATCCCGGCGCAGGCGCTGGGACGACTGACATCATGTCACGCTCGTGATGAAATCGTGTCACGCCCGGGATTAATTACTTACATATATTGTCGTGTCGCGCCAGGGATGACATCACGTCGCGCCAGAGACGACATCATGTCACGCCAGGCATGGCGTCGTGTCACGCCCACATCACTTGATGTCGCGCCCAGAATGACATCATGTCACGCCAGGGACACCCCCCTCCCCTGGCCCCCCCCTAATATCAAATCGATTCAATCATTTGGATTTGCGTCGAAATGCTGTAGACCTGCTGCGTTGCAAAACAGACGTAGACCACTATAGTGTTAACATCTATGTTGCGGTCATTGAGGAGTTGATCTCCGGAACTGCCTCATTGTTGTTCCAGCTTAACGCAGGTGGGGGTCTGCTGCCGCTTGGTCTGCTGGCTGCTGCTGCTTGGTGGTTTGCTGCTGCTGCTTGGTAGCTGCTGCTGATGCTGCTTGGTGGTCTGCTGCTGCTGCTGCTGCTGCTTGGTAGTCTGCTGCTGCTGCTGCTTGGTGGTCTGCTGCTGCTGCTGCTGCTGCTTGGTGGTCTGCTGCTGCTGCTGCTACTGCTGCTTGGTGGTCTGCTGCTGCTGCTGCTGCTGCTGGTGCTGGTGCTGCTGCTGGTCTGCTGCTGCTGCTGCTGGTCTGCTGGTCTGCTACTGCTGGGTCTGCTGCTGCTGGTCTGCTGCTGCTGCTGCTGCTGCTTGATGGTCTGCTGCTGCTGCTGCTGCTGCTGGGTTGTTTGCTGTTGCTGCTGCTGCTGCTTGATGGTCTGTTGCTGCTGCTTGGTGGTCTGCTGCTGCTGCTGCTGGTCTGCTTGCTGCTTCTGCTGCTTGTGCTTCTGGTTTGTGGTCTGCTGCTGCTGCTTGGGGGGTTGCTGCTGCAGCTGCTGCCGCTGACCTTCGATTGCTTACCAAGCTTTCGTCCACCGTTCTTGTCTCAAGTCACGCAAGCCCACTTCACCCAGTTTGTTAGCCCCACCGCGCACCGGGGCAAACGTATGGTCCAATTACTGTGATCAGCCCCTTGCAAAGAAAAAGGAAAAGAGAAGGGAGCGTTTTCTTCATCCAACTAAGGAGTCTGAGCCCGAATTAAAAAGTCCAAAGTCATGCGTCTCAACATCACCTGTAATTAATAGCAAACAAACAAGGGCCGCGCTCAACTGCAAAACTGGAGGTTTGAAAATTGCACCGGCGTAGACGCCAGATAGCAGGTGTATGGGTTTAAAGGGCACGCCGTGGACTGCTGTCACCGCAGCGTGCAACATCAGACCAGTCCACCAATATGCGCAACATCTACCAGACGAAAAATATTTGCAAGATCGGCAAAAACCATGTCACGCCTGGCGTGACATGATGTCGACATCATCTCTGGCGTGACATTATGTCATGTCATCCCCGGCGTGACGCGATGTCATTCTGGGCATCGAATGATGCCACCCCGTGAAATTATGCGATCGCCGGCGTGAGGATGTCATTCTGCGCATGACCTGATGTCATCGCTGACGTGACATGTTTGTCGCCCCTGGTGTGACACGATGTCGTCCCTGGCGCAACAAGTCACGCTTGAACTTCAATCCGTTCTAAGCAGAGGTTCATTTATTATCCCGGCGTCGTAGACTTGCTGGTTGGTATCCTGCCGGCTGGCGCTTGATTGCAGCCTCAAAGTGACCGGCGTTCCTGCCTGGGTTTCATCGCGCGCAGTCGTTATCAATCGTATAGTTGAATGGAGAGTTAAAAGGCTTTCTATGTAGACCAAGGACAGGCGACAAATCACGAAGGCTAGCGTGCTAGGTGAATTTTTTGTTTTAGCAATTTGGTATTGTCAGGCTAACCTCTCCCTGGAGCTGAGCCTCTTGAGGGGATTTACGTCACACATGTTCTTTTTACAAGTTGCCTATATATATATATATATCTATCTATACATATTCTTGATAGCGCTGATCTTTTTGCAAGCAATAGATCAGCTCCGTCTGCGCAGCCCTTTCAAAGTTGACCGAAAGCCAAGGGTTGCGCCAGCAAAATTGTGTGGATGTTAAGAGGTCATTCTATATCATCGATGCGCTTCCTGCTGTGTTGCTGCTGCTGGCTGCTGGCTGCTGGCTGCTGCTGCTGCCGCCGCCGCTCGCTAGAGAAGAAGGGTTGGGGACGCTTGCTCAATGAGCCTTTGGCCCACACACAGCTCACAACAAACTTAGACATTGCATCACGATGTTTGAACCGCCTCACCATTTCATACATACTTGATCCCTTGCCCTCTCCTTGAGAAAGATTGGCAATAGCTGGCTGAAGGAAGGTCAGGCCAGATATTGTGAGTATTTTTTCTCACTTCGCTACTTGGTCGTGATCCCAAGCATTCTTGCAAAGTTGCAACTTTTTGCAGGTCATCATCCCATCGCCACAACAGTTCCTCCAGTGTTGGCATTGTGATGCAGGCAGGTGTTCTTCTCCTGGACGTCGATTCAGCTCCAGTTCTTTTTTTAAACCCGCTCTTACTTAATCAATCTTAACTAAGTAGGCGCCAACTTCATCAAGTAAGGGCTAGCCCTATACTACCTACCTTGAAGAAGCGCTTGCGCTACTCATTTGGCTCCTAGTTGGTGCAATTGTCTCGACGCTAACTTATCCCGTTCATGCTTGTTTGCATCAATCAGATGCTTGTGGACTCTGATGGAGCAAGGGATGATTTTCCAAGAGTATTCAAAGCAAACCAAACATGGGACATGAATGGAGATGACATGAGCTGTGCAGTTGATACGTGTGCTATGGGATGAGCTTCTACCTCAGTTAGAGCAGCAACCCAAAGCCTCACGACAAGTCACTTGGTGGCAAGGAGTTCTTTTTGGCGCGCATGTGTTTTCCCGAATGCGTAGCGAAGGGTTCTCGTTTAACTCTGGGGGTCTGGGGGTAGAGCCTTGTTCGCGACGAGTTGTCTCTGCGTCCGCAACCGCCCGCAACCGTCTGCAGTAGAAATGTGGAGGATGATTTCACTGCGCAGGCGGCAGCGTTTTGTGAGATCCGCAATTTGCTGCCCAGTTCGCGTTTGGAGAGTCGTTTTTGGGGTGTTGGATGTGGCCGCGCCATTGGGGTTTGCCTTTCAGGGTGCGGCGTCGAAGCTCTGTTTTGTGGATGGGAGTGTGCTCAGAACGGGTCAAAATCAATCCAAGCGTGTGGTGCGGTGCAAATTTTGTTGAAGCTCACATGAGATGATATTGTCACTTTTCGTGGCAGGCGCAGTACTTTGCGCGGGTTTTGAGGTGTGGAAGTGCGATTTTCGTGGCAGGCGCAGGGAATCGTGAGGTTGCAAGGTGTGACGGAGGTGACATTTCGTGGCAGGCGCAGTACTTTGTGCGCGTTAGACGTGCGGACGCGGAAAGATTCGTGGCAGGCGCAGGGTCGCTGTGACATTGGGATTGGCGTGTGAGCGGGTGTTGTTTGGAGGGGCTGGAAACTGCTTGGCAGGGCTGCGTGATGTGTGTGCTCCGATGGATGTTTCCGCTTGGCTTTTGGAGGAAGTCTCGTACGAGTGAGTTTTTGAGGAAGTCTCGTACGAAACGCTCCTTTTGCAGACATTGACATGTGACATGTTAGTCTTTGAGGAAGTCTCGTACGAAACGCTCGTTTTGGAGACTTGACGTGTGACTTTTGGAGGAAGTCTCGTACGAAACGCGCGTTTTAGAGGCTTGACGCGTGACTTTTGGAGGAAGTCTCGTACGAAACGTTCGTGGAGAACGTTTCGCGCGAGACGCTTGTAGTGTATGGGCAGAACGTGTGGCCAAATTACGTTCGTGATGTTGCAGTGCCATTGAAATTTGCGTGGCCTTGGTGGGAAGTGTGTTTGCGTGGCGCCGTGCACAGGGGACCGCGCGAAACATGCTGGTGTAAACGGGGCGTGTCGCTGGTGAGCGGGATGATTTGTGGTATCGTGTGATACGTTTGCTTCTAGTGTATGGGCCGTGTGGCGACACGACGTTCGTGATGTCGCAGTGCCTTCGGGATTTGCGCGGCCTTGGTGGAAAGTGCGATTGCGCGGCGCCGTGCCACTGGGGAGCGCGAAACATGCTGGTGTAAACGCGGCGTCGCTGGTGAGCGGGATCATGTGATATGTTTGCTAGTGTGGTGTATGGGCAGACCGTGTGGCAAAATTACGTTCCTGATGTTGCAGTGCCATTTCGATTTGCGCGGCCTTGGTGGGAAGTGACTTTGCGCGGCACCGTGCCAGTGGGGAGCGCAAAGCATGCTGGTCTAAACGCGGCTTGTCACTGGTGAGCGGGATGATTGGCGGTCTCATGTGATATGTTTGCTTCCAGTGTATGGGCAGACCGTGTGGCGAATTTTCGTTCGTGATGTTGCAGTGCCATTGGGATTTGCGCGGCCTTGGTGGGAAGTGTGTTTGCCCGGCGCCGTGCCACTGGGGAGCGCGAAACATGCTGGTGTAAACGCAGCGTGTCGCTGGCGAGCGATGTGTTTGCTTCTAGTGTGTGGGCAGACCGTGTGGCGACACGACGTTCGTGATGTCGCAGTGCCATTCGGACTTGCGCGGACTTGGTGGAAAGTGCGTTTTTGTGGCGCCATGCCACTGGGGAGCGCGAAACATGCTGGTGTAAACGCGGCGTGTCGCTGGTGAGCGGGATGATTTGTGGTATCGTGTGATATGTTTGCTTGTAATTACGTTCGTGATGTTGCACTGAGACTGCCATCGGGATTTGCGCGCCGCCTTGGTGGGAAGCGTGTTTGTGTGGCGCCGCGCCACAGCGGAGCGCGAAACAACCTGGTGTAAACTCGGCGTGTCGCTGGCGAGCGGGGTGATTTCTGGTATCATGTGATACGATTGCTTCTAGGATTCTAGTGTGTGGTCAGACCGTGTGGCGACGCGACGCGCGTGATGTCGCAGTGCCATTGGGATTTGCGCGCCCTTGGTGGAAAGTGCGTTTGCGTGGCGCTGTGCCACTGGGGAGCGCGAAACAGGCTGGTGTAAACGCGGCGTGTCGCCGGTGAGCGGGATGATTGGTATCAAGAGTGTCCCACAAGAGTGCCTCGCAAGAGCTTCCTACAATAGTGACCCAGAAGAGTGTCCTACAAGAGTGTCCCAGAAGAGTGTCTTACAAGAGTGTCCCGCAAGAGTGTCCCACAGGAGTGTCCTACAAGAGCGACTCACAAGAGCCTCCCACAAGAGTGTCCCAGATAGAGTGTCCCACAAGAGTGTCCCGTAT